GCGCACAGAATGGGCAGATGCTGCTTCTACACGGCCGGGACGCTGTCCCTGCTCCTGCTGGTGACCAGCGTCACGCTGTTGGTGGCCCGGGTCTTCCAGAAGGCCGTGGACCAGGCAGTCGAGAAGGTGAGCCTAAGTGTGCGTGTGTGTGTGTGTGTGCGCGCGCGGATGTTGGGGGTGGCTTCCAGCCCACGGCCCCCTCCGAGCCTTGTGCCGGGGAGACCTGCACCCTGCCGACCCGGCCTGAGCCTCCTTCCGTCCCTGTCTTTTCGGGCTCGGTGGGTGAGGGCTTCAGAAGGACCGGGAGGAATGGAGGTGACTGTGATCTTTCTCGTCGCACGTAGCACTGCAGACCTTATCTCTTTAAAAAGGCTTTCGCTTGTGTCTATCATTTCCATCTCTCCCCACCCCCTTCACACACCCTAATCTCTTTTGGGCCCAAACTCGTTTCCCTCCTACTCCAGGAAGAAACAAAACTATTTAAATGAAAGACACCGCAGACGGGGCAGGTTCTGTGGCTGCTTGCTGTGGCTTTGAAGTGGTGTGGGGTTGGGGAGAAGAGGTGGGCGTGTGGTCTATTGTTTTCTACCCTCCTGAGCCCGCTAGGGTCGGGCGGGGCTGGGCTGGAGTAGCCAGGCTAGCCCTGTGGCGTGGCGACAGTTCGTCTGTCCCCATCTGTGCTTGACACTGACTTGGCAGCTCAGTATCTTGCACCGGCAGCCCCAATTGCTTTGTCTCTCCGTGGGTTCTTGCTCCTAACAGCCTAGTTATCAGGCATGGCTGCATTTATAGCATCCCTATAAGAACCTGGCTCCTCTTTTGCCCTAGATGAGTGGACTAGATAGAGAACTAGTTATTTTAGAGGACTTCATCTTTTGACCTTGCTGGTCATTTCTTCTGCCTTTTCACCCACATCCACCAGGCTTTGTGGAAAAAGGAACAAGAGAGAGTCACCAGGACCACTTTTTCCTTAAAAAGATTCATTAGCACAGCCTTTCTTATGAACACCTCAACTGCTTGCCACTTGCACCGACTGCTCTGCACTTTGCCCTCAGCAGGTAAAAAGCCCTGGTTGGGGCCAGCCTGGTGGTATGGTGCTTAAGGCCGCTGGATCCCACATGGTCCAATGCAAGGTTCGAGCCTTGGAGCTAAGGGCTTGAAAATAGGCTGGGCCCTTGAGATGCATGCCCACATCTTGAGAGGAGAGTGGAGGAGAAGGGACTGTGGAGTAGTCATCTCCCCAGGGGGTGATTTCTCATTCTCTCTCTCTCTTTCTCTTTCTCTCCCCCTCTGTCTTTCTCTGGTGAGTGTTCTCGCTCTATAGGGAGAAAAAAAGAAAAAAGAAACAGGTGTCTTCCAGTTTCGGCTACTCCCTGATGAGTAAAGTTGTCTCGAGGTGGCAACAGAGTTAACCGAGGTTTCTCCAAGTGCTCAAGGTACTTGAAATCTGACAGTTAAAGGGGACGGGAACCTGAAACAAACAAATAAAAGCAGTGTTGTGGGAAAGGATAATTTAATTTTTAAAAAGTTCACGTTGCTGTGACCAGTGGGGGACGTGGTGGTTAAGGTGCTGGACTCCCACATGGCTGACTGCCATTCGAGGCCTGGACCCGGTAACTTGAAACTCACACCGGGTGCGTGTGCATGTGTGCACAAAATCCCAGGAGCAGACTGGAGGAGAATAAATAGCAGTGTGGCCAACCCCCCGGGGGTGATTTCTCGCTTCCTGTCTCTGTGTCTCTTTGGCAAGTGCATGCACCCTAGAGCAAAAATTCTCTCTCTAAAAAAAGTTTACATTGTCCAGGGAAGATAGGGCCCACTGCCTGGCCTTCTCAAGTCATTGCTTTCCCGGAGGGATAAAGAAACTGAGTTCTGGGTTATTCCTGCCCACTCCCAAATCGGTGGTAAGCTTTGTTGGAGGATGACAGCTCTTGTGTTGAATGACTAGAGCTAAGCAGTTTGATTATAGCCAACATGAGAATTTTCTGGCGTGGCTTTGAAAGTCTCTTGCTGGAAAAAAAAAAAAAAGAAAAAACAAAACAAAACAAAAAAAGGGGCCAGCAGTTAGCGTAATGGCTATGTCGCTGGACTCCCACGTAGTCCGCCGTGGTTCGAGTCCCGGACCCGGTGGCTTAAACTCACGCAGGGCGGTTATGCGTATCTGCCCAGAATCCAGAGAGGAAATGGAAGAGAAGGGATTGCGGCGTGGCCAGTCCCCCTGGGGGGTGACTTCTCGCTTTCTATCTCTTTGTCTCTCTCTCTCTGTCTGGCGAGCGTACGCGCCCTATAGCAAAAACCTCTCAAAAAAAAAAAAAAAAGAAAGAAAAAGAAAAGAAAGTCTCTTGCTGGGATGTCCATAGATGAGTGGACGTCCCAGGGCCCCAGAAGTGGCCAGCCATCAGATGCTCTGTGTTCCATTTCACTGGGGAAGAGGGGCAGCTTGGCTGAGGCCTGAGTGTGTGTTGGTGGTGTAGACTGGCTTTTCTGAGTGGTTTTCTCCCTGAGGAATGGACTGTGTTCTGACTGGAAAGTGGCCTCTCAGAACTGCCCAACTCCCAGCTACAGAGCACTGTATAATGTGGCGTATGAAACCAAAAGACAGGGCAAGTTTTGGTGGACCGGTTTGGTGATGTTGTAAGTCCAGAGGTTCCAATCGGCTCTTTCCTGGGTTACTTGTCTGGTGGTAGCACAGGCTGGTAGGCGACAGTAAGATCTTTGCAAGTTAGTGCTCCCGGGCCAGAATCCCAGCTTCTGGTGTACTGCTGGCTGACCATAGGTTAGCTGCCATCTTTCTTGACCCATGTTTTCCCTACCTGTATGTATACACATGCCTGTCTATAGTAAGGTTAGAAGAACGAGTCATGAAAATGGGTGTGATTTTTCCTGGGATATGGTTAACGTGTAATAAGTGATAGCAGTTTTGTTTTTCTTTGAAGTCACACAAAGAAAAAGCACCTAAGATTGGAGTCAGTCATCCTGTGTTCAGATCCTAGACTCAACATTTGCAAGCCTTTGCCTTTGGGCAACTTGGCTGGGTCTCAGTTTTACAACTTGTCTATGTGGAGATGTGTGTGTTAGCTGGCTGGGACACAGTGCTACATTTACCACAAGCTCGCCAAGCTTTGCTTTGGCCCTCTCACTTGTACTGGCCCTTGCAAAGCCCGGTACCTTATTTTGTATCCCCCAAATTTCCTTTTTCTTCTTGGGAAACACCCCTCGAATTGTATAAGCTCTAAGACCCACAAGACCTGGATCAGCCTCTGCGTGCGAACTGTTGTGGGACCGTGTGTGAGAGCACTTAGCATCTGCCCTGGTCGTGGGTTTGCATGGCGATTGATTAGCGGCAGTTGTCACTGTCTTCGTCCATGTTGCTATGGAGCTGTTCATTCGTAACTTCACTGTATTACGGTCGCAGTATCATCTACTCTGCTCAGAGCGTTTTCATTCGATGATTATCCACGTGCAGGACTTGTCTTCATCAAAAGAGAGGAGAAGAGGGATGAAGTTCGAATGAGTAGGTTTGGCTACTGGTGGGAAGCTTAGTAAAATAATTGCTCTCAGAAGAATTTGCCTCAAGTGATAATTGCCCTTGAGCCTTGTAGTAACCAGAGGTGATTGGAGGGAAGTCCAGGGAAAGACAAGACAGTTTATTCCATTCTTGGCCTGCTGGTGACTGTCCTGTGCTGGGCCATTCCTGTAATGGCCTCTGTTTTCGCCTTTGCGAGAGAGGAAAGCAGTAGCTCCCTCCTCTTCTGCCCGCACCCACTTCCCTGAGGGGTTAAGAGCACTTCCAGTTCATCTTGGTCAACTGTCTGACCCTTCTGGAGACAGCTTTGCAGAGACCTGGCAGTAGCCTGTTTTCTCCCCTAGAGCCTGTAAGGGCAGGACTCGTACATCTAATTGGTGGCCCAACTAATCGTCTTGGCACCAGGGGTAGTGCCTAGTTCATCGCAAGCATATACTGGGTTGTCGGAAAAGCCAGGACATATTTTTCTATGTAAAAAGGCATCATGACTTTTCCAACACTCCACTAATAAATGCCCGTTGACTCACCTTGAATCATTTTAATAGAAAGAAGGGTGTCCCGAGAAGCAGCAGAACTTGGTTCAAATTTCTTTTCTGTTACTAATGAACATTTGGATTAAGCTGAATGGGCAGTGAGTTATCTGACTTCTCGGAGCCTCAGGTTCCTTATTTCGAATATGGGAAAGGATAGGGACTTCATGGGGTGGTCACAAGAATGAAATGAAATAATTTGCTATATGGGCTGGCTCCGTGGTGCAGCAGTAACGCACTGCCCCTGGGTCTCACGTGGCGACTGCGGTTCTTGTCCCCGGCCCAGTCAGCCTGACACACACCAGACATGAGTGCCCAAGGTCTGAGGGGCTGGAGGAGTGGAGGAAGGAGAGTGCAGTGTGACCAGATCCTGGACAGTGCGCTTCTCTCTCACACACACCAATACGTGTGCATGTTTGTACACACACTATCATGCGTAAAGAAAAATGTAACTATTAATTTAATTAATTATTATTTTAAAATTTGCTATAGGGCATGTGCACTCACCAGAGAGAGGGGAGAGAGAGGGAGAGGAGACAGAGAAAGAGAGAAAGCAAACCACCAGGTCAGGGACTCCAGCTGTGGTCAGCCATGTGGGAGTCCAGTACTTTAACCACCACACCACCTGTTGGCTCCAGAAAATAATATTGTTGACGATTGCTTTAAAGCACCCGCACGGTGCCTGAACATTGACATTTGTTTTTGTTTTTAGGTCTTATTTTCTCATCTGTGAATTGAAGCTTAGATAGTCTCTAAGGTTCCTTCTAGTTCCAAACTTCTGAAATTCTATGACACAGCACAGTGACCTTTAAGAGCAGTTTATGCAGTTCAGAAGATTACATTTGCCCTCCCGAGCTCTGCAAACTTGCTGACAGTTTGAACATCTCCCAGAAATGGGGATGGAGAACTAGCCAAAGTCAGGGTGAGTAATAAGGGATGGGCTGACAAGGCAACCAGTGAGAGGGAGAGACAGGCTTTTTCCTTCCTCTTCACGGGCCAAGGCGGGACACAGCATAGGCCTCAGGGATGAAATGAACAGGACGAAGACACTCAGCCTTCGCCTGGACCTG